TTTATTCAATATTCACTATTGTATATTTGTCAATACTTTATTCTTTTTTATGGTTTGTCTTTAAAAAAAACAAAAAAGAAAATCAATTTATTACTCAATTAATCATCAAAGTAATCAACAAGTTACTCATTTGCTAATACAATTGATAGTGCAAACCCTACATAATAATGAAAGAAATAAACAACAATAAAAATAAAATGTAAAATATAATGCAAGAAAATGTAGAACATGGGACCTTTAAAGTTACAATTTTAAAATGTAGGTAACACATTTTCTATTACACACTGACTGCTATGGAAGGTTTGACACGAATAGAGCACTTCACACCAGAGATGTTCTCAAGTCACTTCATGCAAGCCTGAGTCAAGTCTCGGGTCTCTGAGGTGCAACTCCGAGTGGAGTCTCAAGTCTTCAGTAGAATATTTCAGTCTTGTTATTAGCTGAACCTGTCAGGTCTTAAAAAACAAGCCTTTGCTTACAGAAAAGCCTTCAGTCTGAAAGAAAGAACTGAAGTGCTACACTCAGTAAATGCAGTGCTTAAAATAAAGGGGCAAAACAAACTTGATACAGTTGGTCAGTCTGGAGTTTGTAAGTATGCTTGCTAGCTAGCGTAATAGCTAATCCAGTTGAATTTTGTAAAACATTTAAAGGACTGTCATCCGTAACTTAGTAAAACATCAGCTAGATTAGTCGATAGTAATTTAAAAATAAATTAGCTATCGCCTCTTTTCTTTAAACACTACAGTCATTGTATGTAGAGCTTTGTTTTGTCCTTCTGACTGATTGTTTTTTTGTAATAAAAGGCTGTGAGCTGTGAGAAGAACGGCAGTACAGTTTTTACTGCCGTTTACCTTTCATGATTTCTGTCTCCAGGCCATGGTTGTAAGGACTCACAGGAGTTTTTCCCATAAGTAGCTCTCGGGCCAGAGCAAATTCAGTTTGTCTGCTGCTCTTGGATAATACCCTTGTTTTTGCCACTGTGCCTTTTCCAAAAGGATGGGGCCAAGTCAAGTTGGGAGTCATTTAAGTGCTAGTGTGAGTCAAGTCACGAGTCATTTAAGCACAAGGCCAAGTCAAGTCGGCGGAGTCAGATCGACTCGCTACTTGAGACTGACTTGCTGACTTGGGTTCTTGTCTGTGCCTCACACTGAAATGTCTACATGATAGTGCTGTATGATGTTGGGTGAATCAGTTGGAAACTGACTAGAACATGCTGTATGGAACCGCATAGAGAATTTCCCAAAAATAAAAACAAACACACACGCGCACACACACACACACAACTCTCAGTGGACCTCAGTAGCAATGCTGTGCACCACAGTAGCAAGCACATCCTCTGAGCTTTACTTCAAATTACACAGAAAAACTGCAAACGCTGGGTCGACAGAAGTACCCTTCTGAGGACATCAGATTATCGCTCAGCAAACAGAGGACTCTTGGGGCCACCGTCTTTCTCTGTGCACGCTCTGACGAGTGTGTGCATGTATCTCGACTCTCAGCCCCTTCATGATTCATTGCCCAAATCTTACATGGAGAATGAGTCAGTAGTGTTCAGTTTGTGCCACCTTCCGGTTTATCCTTCAGTTTTAACAGCTGTCTCTGCACAGATGCTCGAGTGTGTTTTTTTGATGTTGCTCTCTGAAAAACTGCTAAGCTCTGCCTTTCTCCACATTTGTAGTTTGTACAGTATCAGTCACTGTTTTTCACACGCAAGTCCACATTAACTTCAAAGCATCAGTGAATTTTGTAATTGCTCTCTGATCTCTTGTGGCCTATTATTTCTTACAGCTGCAATCAAATGTTTGGACACACCTACTTGTGAACAGTTTTCCTTTTATTTTTGATATTTTTCACATTTTAAATTAATAGTGAAGGCATTGAAACTAAAACATATCTAATTATGGAGTGACTTGGGCTGTCACAATTACTTAATACAATTACTCAATTTTTAAAAATTCACTGATACAATTTATAATAATAAACATATATAAATAAACATAATTAACAGGGTATCCACAGGTAATTTGACTATAAAGATGTTTAGCAGGCTGATGATTTTCCACAAGGGGGAGGTATTAGCACTCAAGTCGCTTTTCTGTGCCTCACTGAAAGAGAGGAAACCCACACCAGCAGCATCGCACAATGTGTGTTTTTAGTTAGCAAATTGTGAGTATATGAAGTAATACTGTGAACTGAATGGTTTTATTTAACCAAGGTTAAAACTCAGCAGGCAGCTAACAGGCTTAATAGACTACTCCAGTAACACTCAAAGTTAGACTTTACCAAAGGATTCACTGTAGAACTGCAACATGCAAAGTAAAGAATATGCCACTTGAATTTCTGTTACAATTTCAAATGCTTGTGAAATGTCTGTGTTTAAGCAGAGCCAATTTATGCTTCTGTGTCAAATCTGTGCCACAGGTATGGCATACGTACCATGTAGCTGCATACCTTACGCCGTACCTTACGCCGTAGTCTAACACACCCCAACCCAGAAATATAACTACACATTGCGGCAGACCATAACAACTGATTGATCTGCTTGGTAGCATTTTCCTCCTACGTATTTCCAGCTTCTCCATCTACTTTGATAGATTTCATTTATATGTAGCTAGCTACACTAGTAAGAAGCTGTCACTAACAGTAGCTATATTCCCAAACAGTGTAGCTAGCTTTCTTTATGCAGCTGCCACCAGCTAACGCTAACTAATGTGGAGCATCTTTGTGACACATTTATAGCATGGTAGTGATTTCTGTAACATTAAAACAGCAAACCAACATTTTTATATGTAGGTTAAAGTCTATTTGATAGACTTTGTTTAAGCTCTCTTGCTAATGGTAGGCTAGCAAGATACGCGTTCTAGTTAGCTAGCTAGCGTAACATTAAGTTCAAATTAGTTGAAGAAAAACCAGCTTTATATGAGTAGCAAACATTAGCTGGCTAAATTAAGTTTTGTTAGCGATCTGCCAAACAGTGTCTTTCTTTTAGTTTCACTCCAATTTTTAAATCGGATAATGTCCACCTTTCACTACTCACTTGAAAACTCAACTCCTGGCTTGTATCTTAGCAGCATGATTATGCTGTGACATTCTGACTTCACTTTTCTGACAGGTGTTTGTGGTGTGGGAGAGCAGTGCCATGTCTCTGACATAACATGGCAGCTAACATCAGCTAACATCAACATTCATACTAAGCTGATGTAGGAGAAATTACATCATTGACAGTTTATTGCCTATAGCATGAGCTTTTTAAAAACATGAGTACAAAAATACAAAAATTTGATGCAGAAAGCTGCTTTATGTTAGCTGGATAACAGATAATAACTGCCTTTATAGCGAGCTAAATATAAACAAAGTGGGTCATTCTACAGAAACGTCCATTTTTGTGTCCCTAGTGTTGACAGATCTATTACACTTCAAAAACATGTTAGGGTTACAGCTTATTTATATTTTAAAATAAAACAATGTTATTTCAACAATTACACCTTCTTCAGCCATCAATTCAGCAATATTGGTTTTTAAATCAATTATCTAGAATTCCAAGCACCATAGAAGTGCTTGTCCCCATAGTCATGTGTAAAGGGTGAGTGCCATATATCAAGTAAAAAATACATTTTTCTGCTATTTTAACTGCAATTGTCTATACATGACTAAGAAATATGTAAATTAAATGACAAAGAAAAAAAGGCAAATAAATATTATAAAATATATAATGAAAGTTGTTGTCCCCAGGAGTCGTTTCACTGGTGTTACTGCGTAAGAAAAAAATCTCTTATGTTGACATAAAAGTCACACTGATGACTGATTTTACCTATTTTCTGAGGATCTGAATGAGAAATTTTCTCATTCCGTTTCTGATTTCATATGAAGCTTTTAGTTGACATCACTGGTATGACCTGCTTTATTCTTAGGTAATTGTGAAGAAATAGAATACGAATGGATTAAATTACATATTTTAGTGGATATTCCATGATTGACGACATGTGGTTTGATGCTCTGTAGCAGCCATTTTGTAAAATGCATTTTTCATTAGTTACAGTGTTACTGTAACTGGTGTTACCTTTCTTATGTGTAACACCAATTAAGATTGGTAACACCAGTGACAGCTATAGATAGACAGAAAAGTGGACGTTTCTGTAGAATGACCCAAGTATATCAAATTCACACTACATATACAAGTTTTGCTTTAATTTTAAAACATAAATAGAATTCATTCAAGAATCGCTGGCATATTGTACAAAGACGCAGAGACTGTTTCATGTGAGCAGCTGCTGCAGCAGCAAACAACGCTAAACCACACTTACAGCATTTTAGCTCTGTTTAAAGTTAAGGTCAGTGTTTTGATCTACTTCTTATTTTCACTATTTGTTGTGACAGTGTACAAAAACTACAATATGGCTGTTGCAACTTAATGCTTGAGCAATATGATACACTACAATAACATTCTGATATCACTTCTGCAGTAGTTATATGAAGCTGAAGTGAATAAGCATGACTCTTAGTGAAAAGGGTCCATTGCAGAGACTCACCAACACACGAGTCTAAGCGCTCACAATGGTGTAGGCCACATGTGTAGGCTACGGCATAGACTCTGCATTTGCCTTAAGTAGTATTAAACCCTGTTTGGGCAGTGAACACTACCGCTACATTGAAATACCCATAGAAGCTAGCGAAAATTTGCATTATCACAGTTTGATACTCAGGCTGTCCCTGTAGTAAAGAGTTCATAATTAACAGTTTCTGCTCTAACAATAACTGCAAAGTGGTAAACAAATCAAAACTATGTCAGTACTTTAATTTTTTTTTAGAATCTTCAAAGTATTCCCCTGCGTTGATGCACTTCTGCACAAACATATGTATAAAAGCCTTTGTACATGAGTCCAAACTTTTGTCTGTGCTTCTCTAAATATGTAGACTTGATGTCTTTTTTTAGAGCCTCTCTGTTTTCTGTGCTGAAGGGGCATCAATGATGAAAGCTTGTGCTCTGTTGTTGTCCACAGATCCGCCAGCGGTGGAGCCGGTGTACACAGAGATTCGGCAGGGCCTGGGCCGAGCCTTCAGCCTGAGCTGCAGAGTGCTGCGTGCACACCCGTCTCGCGTGCTGAAGTACGAGTGGAAGCTGGGCACACGACTGCTGACCGTGGGACAGTTCGACACACGTGACGAGACCGAGTACCATGTGAGGGCACTGAACCGCGAGGGCTATGGTGCATACACCTGTGACATCACCAATGAAGCCGGCGCCGGCCGCTGCACATTCCTGGTAACAGGTAAGAGAGTTTAATGCATTTTGGATTTGATACGTTAACTTGGACAGCCCTATTATTGTTTTTTCCTTTTTACCACAGTTGACCATTCCAAAAACAACCCTGACAGTGCCCTAATTTTATTTGCAGTGTTGATGCTATACTAAGAGATGGCTGGCATGTGGCCAACTCTGGCACAGATAAAACTCACCCTCCACGTCATCCTGAGCAGTTGCAGACTAGGGGGTGGTTTGTCTTTGATTTTGTGCCACCTCATAAACTGAGCACATGCTTGGTACTGTACCAAGGCTGTTCGTTTTGGAAATGAGTGCTACTGCATTTTTCTTTCTCTCTTTCCCTCTCCTTTTTGCTCTACCCTCATCGTTGAATATTCATAGCTGAAATCCCAGCTGGTTGATGAGGCATCCTGGACCAGAGAGGGATGTGGGAAGAGATGAGCTACCTGCTTTCTGATGCCTAGGTTATTCTTGGAGATGTTTCACCCCTAATCATTTAATTTGCATTGACAATTTCCTGCTCTGCAGGCATAAAAGAGGATTATATCGCTCATATCCTCTCTCCTTGATTCCTTGTGTATCTCTCTCTTTCACACACTCTGTCTCTCTCTCTTTCTTTCTCTCTCTCTCATTCATTCACCAGTCCAACCAATAAAACACTCATCCATCTGGGCAATTCTACTAGATCTAGTCTCTCTCTCTCCTCTCTCTCTCTCTCTCTCTCTCTCGTGCACTCTCCCTCCCTCCTCGTATTTTACGCGCTTTAGTAGGACATGCTGACGGCCATTATTTTGCACAATCCATGCATTGATGATGAGCCTCTGCTACATCGCGGAAACTTGCCTCTTCCTCCTAAGCCTTGCACGAACAGCCGTCTGGATCTGTGTTTCTACACACCTGAGGACAAGAGCATGAGAGCAAGAAAATCCAATGTTGAACTTTGGAGTGTTTTACCCCTGCCATTGTCACAGAGGTAATGTAAATGCGTTTTATCCCACAACCTGCAGAAAATAGGTGCGTTGTCAGGTGATGGCAAAGAAATCTAAATGTCTGCAGTGTGGAACTACAAACCCAATTCCAAAAAAAGTTGGGATAATATGTGAAATGCCAATAAAAACAAAGTAGTGAATAGTAAATTCTGTTTGGCCGATATTAACTTATAAACAGTACTGAAACACAGTATTTGATGATTTAGCTTGAACTCTGTCAAATTTGACGCCTGGAACATGTTCCAAAAAAGTTAGGACAGGAGCATGTTTACCAGTGTGTTACATCACCTTTCCTTTTAACAACACTTAATAATCGTTTAGGGACTGAAGTCACAAACTGATCCAGTTTTGAAAGTGGAATTTTATGCTATTGTTCGTTTGTACAAGTCTTCAGCTGTGCAACCATATTGGGCCCTTTTTGTTGTATTTTGCATTTCATAATGCATCACACATTTTCAGTAGGAGACAGGCAGACCAGTCTAGCACCTGCTCTCCGATTACACAACCATGCTTTTGTAACACATGCAGAATATTTCTTGTGAAATAAGCATGGATGTCCCTGAAAAAGATTTTGTGTAAAAAGATATGCGTATGTTGCTTCAAAATGTGTATACATCTTTCAGGATTAATGGTGTTTTCACAGATGTGCAAGTTACCCACTAATATCCTCCATACCGTGACAAACGCTGACTCAGTTAAAAAAGGTTTCAGTCTATTTGCTGATGCATTTTTGGCCAAGTGCCAAGCCTCAACTAATTCTTGCTCATAAAGGACTAGGCCTTTCATTTATGCCCCTTTTATACTCAACCATGATTACATCACTACTTTTAAAATGTTTTCTGAATCACCTAATGTTTAGAACTAATCTTAAATTGCCAATTAAATTCAAATGAGTGTATATTTAAAGAAGACAATGAAGCAGAAAATATAAAACATGAAATATCTTATTTTCCTATTGTTTGCTTACATTCAGGTCAAAGTCTATTACAAATCAAGCTTTCTGTTTTTATTTGCATTTCACACTGTCCCAACTTTTACCCGATTTTTCTCCCCAATTTAGTCGTCTCCAATTCCACCCGCTAGTTAGGACTCCCCCAATCACACGATGCTATCAACGCTAGGAGGGCGAAGGCTAACACAGGCTTCCTCCGAGACCTGTGAAGCCAACCACCGCTTCTTTTCGAACTGCCGCTCACGCAACGTCACTGGACAGCCGAACGCGCTCGGAGGAAAGCGCCAACCGCCAGATCTGTTACGTCAGCTAACAGACGCCTGCGCTGACTAGCATCGCGCTGAGTGATGGGGGGAGAAGGAGGGGCCATCCTACCCACCCAGAGAGAGCGAGGCCAATTGTGCTCTCTTGGACTCCCGGCTACGGATGGCTGTAGCATCACCAGGGATCGAACTCGCGATCTCCTGATGATAGGGCCAGCGCTTAGACGGTTGCGCCACTCGGGAGCCCCCAACTTTTTTTTAATTGGGATTGTATATTGCAGTGGAATGTGAGGAATTGTAATTGCCACACCACTGACTCAACTGTGAACTAGCCATATTTTGTTTAAGCACTGACACATAAAATGTGAGCAAGCGGCTATAGGTCTACTTTCTGACACGTCATGCGAGCAGCATGCCACCGAAAACGTGTACAAAATTTATTCCCAGTTTTTATCGTAGGGATGTGCATTTCGACAAATTTTGATATTCCAGTACCAGTTAGGGTTAATAAACGGATAATCGGTTGACAGTAGGTAAGAAAAACAAGCAAGAAAAATAACAGACTTTTGCTGACTTTAATGTAGGGCTGTAGGCTTACTTTTTTAGATGACAGCAGTTAAGTGGTGTGGCAGCACACAGAGGAACACATTTTAAAAAAAAAGTTTTATTATTCAGAAACAGCAGAGGGTTTTCGTTTGCGTTGAGTAACGAAGGATACCTCTTAGATGAGCTAATGAGCTAACGAGCTAACCAGTACAACACTGGATGCTGATGAGGACTCGTTGTCTTCTTACAGGTGATTGTCAGAGTTTGTCTGAGAAAAATAATTTCATTGTTTCTGGACCTAGCCATCATCAGCTACAGTATTTATATAGTAGCAATATAGCCACACCAAAGCTGGCTGCATGTTCTTTGAATTCTCTGTCACATTCAGGCACTTGTGTTTTGTAGTAGCGAAGTTGTACTTACTCGCAAATGCAAGTGAAATTGCTACATTTTGCAGTCTTGTTAGAACATAAAATCAGCATTTCACTGATTTGTTTGTTTGTAGATTTTCTACATCTTTCTGTGATAAAACATAACAAATACCTGAATAGTGAATTCGGTATTTGAATCCTAGTGCCTTGAATGGTTAATCGAGTATGTCCGAATACCCATGCACACCCCTACTTTCCCAGCCCCTTCTGATTTTAAACCAACATTAGAAGAAACAGCTCATTTAAAATCAAGACATAGGAGCAGCTACTGCATGCACTTGACAACAATATGAAATCATAGTGTACTAAGAACTAAATTCACTTCAGAGTGCACATCATTACACACATGTCAAAAAAGTTATTTTACTGCAGAATATTACAATAACTGGTAGCCGTCAGATAGGTCAACCAAATTTAATCATAAGTCATTAAACGCACTATGCAATGGTAATTTTTTAATATATGCCAAAAACCAAAGCATTTCAGCCCAGATCATCACATTATGCACCTACTAAAAATAAAGAGATTTTAATGCAGTATTAATTAGCAGACTTGCGTAACTTAATAATAGACTAAATTTTGTGGCTGTATTATCTACAAAAAAAGTAAAGATGGATCAGATTAGTATCGACCGATGCTGAACATTATAGTATTCCGATCAGATCGAATGGCAAGAAAACTAGAATTGGACATCCCTAATGATCACCATCCCAATTGCCGGCTAATCACTGCTAATCTTCAAGAAGGTAAAGTTTAATCAATTTTTTTTTTCTAGTTGTGTAATTGAGTTTAATCGATTAACTCTGACAGCACTAGCAGGTTTAATAGCATAGAGGCTCAGCTAGCAATGAAACAAATTAGTTTAATTAGTTTGAATGTGAAGCAGAAAACGAATGAGCACATAAACATAAGATGTGCTTTCCCTGAGCTTCCTCCTTAATGGTGGCTCATTTCTAATGTGGGCATCTTTCGCAAGAAGCTGTAAGGAATGCTAATGAAATAGAGGTTAAGTCAGTTGAAGAGAAGCTTCAAGGTGCATTCCATCTGCTCCTTACGGTAGCCCTGTGGCCGTGCGTGTGGCTCTCCTACAACAGTGCTGCATCAGTTTCTCAGCCTGCTGCCTGTCAGGTTGACAGCTGCACATCTCCGAGGAGACGGACATGAAATATTCATGTGCTGGGCTTTACTTTAAGCCTAGATGGACTCCCTGCAGTGCCAACCTCCGTTATGTGCTCAATGAGCGACATGATTCCACTTCAATTACTCAAGTCTTTTAGTAAGGTAAATTCAGCTTTCATGACAGAGCTCATGACATCCATTATATGCCATTGAAAGTTTGTACTGCTCTCATGAGCACACACACACACACACACACACACACACACACACACACACACATACACATGATGATTGAGGTTTGGAACTGTCATGGGATTTTGAAAAGAAAAGAAGTACTACTCCACAAATATACTACCCATCAGAAGTCTGCAGACAACTTGAAATTTCAGTTTTATTTCTGTTACTACCCGTTATTACCTGGTAGTTGTTGTGTAGTATGTTTATGCAAAATTCAAATGTAAGTTCTTTTTTTTTCAGTTTTTGACCAGGTGTGTCTTGAACTATGGTTTTTGGTTTCAGCCTAGAACTTTGATTTCAGTGCATCACTAAGTATATGCAATAAGACACAGAGAAGGAGTTCAAAGGTAAGTTTCTGGCAGCATATTCTGTATTTTCTAATATTTTAATATTTTAAAATTAAACTGCAAATTAGAAAATTCTGATTGTGTTTTTACAGTTGTATTTCTAATGAGAGTTTGCATTATAGAAGAAATAATGAAAATCCAAATGCAAAATGTGTATTTGCATTTGCATTTTTTTGTATATTGACTGGATAAAGTATGTAGGGAAAAGAAATTACTTATTACATTATTTACATTACTTTATTATTATTTACATTACATTATTTACTTTACATACTTATTACTAATTACATAAATGAAATAACATGAAATAACATTTCGTTTGTCATTGTCTTAATGGTATGACTCTGACATATTAAAACGAAATAACAATCCCTGATTTGCAATTGCATTTCCTCATGCACACTTCAGCTTTGCCAATATTAAAATGCATTTGCAGCCCTGTTTGCAATTGCATTTTCTCTGTCAGCGAGCACTCCTGTCATTCAAACACCATAGGTGGGATGTGGGAAGACACTTTTAAGTATGGTACATGTTTTAAGAGGAAATGATGAAAAAGTCTAAACTTTGGCGATACTGGTGCATTAGCAACCGATGTTAGTGACGTTTTAACACATGCAGACCAGACTGAGGATAATTCTGTCCAAGTGATTCCCTATTGTTTTATGTAGATGTGATTGTTGACGACTAAGAGAGCTTTTGGCTGCATAAGAACCAATGTTAGTGACATTGTGACTGGCTTTGAGCAAAGGCTGTTTTTTTCATGGTGTACTTATCAAAGCTTGTGTTACAAGCTCATATTGTCAATCTTTATATTGATTATCTTAAAAAAGATTGAATGCTGATGAGTGCTAACATCACAACAGGAGTAGAAAATGTGTAGAGTATGGTATTATTCCTAGGATTGTACTTTCAATAATAATTGTCAATAATTGTCACAAATATTTGCCATTTTCCTTTTGATTAGTCTTTAATGTTATGTTATTTGTTTTATGTGTTCCAACACACTTCAATGGGCACTGTATGTTAAGCATTCCATGATATACGCTTACAAGCTGTAGCAATTGGGCTGTATATAGCTTAAAAGTTTTCAACAGCTAATACACATGAGCAGTGCAGTGGAACCACAAAGGCCATGTACTGCTTCTGTTCCAGTGTATGTTGTGCTACGCTTTGGTGGATATTCCAAAAAGTAATCAAGCGAAACCTTGAAGTCTTTTTGACCTAGTGGAACATCAAGCCAAGCTGGCCATCAGCTGGCCCATGCAAGGTTTTGATTTTTCACTTTGGCTGATTTAGGAGCAGTGTGATTTTGCTCACCTCCGCAAACACATCTTCGCTCAAGCTGCGATTCCCAGCGGAGCTGAATTTATCCCCAAGCATTAAACAGAGTGAACTCGGCAGGCCCATTAGCACTGCCTGTAGATTTTTTCTCTCTTAATAAGCTGAGGATAGAATAAGCGCTGGTGACAGCTCTAATCCCTGACCTGCAGACATCAGCAAGATTTCCCTTACTCACACCCCTTGTAGACATCTATGCAAAGCTTGACCATGAAGTTTCTTCTGCTGAAACAGTGACTTTTGCAGCAAACGCTTCATGCTGGAGTTCTCTGTGTATTGGAAAACCTCCACCCATTTCTCTGCTTCTGTTCCATTAATGAGTTTGCTTTTTGGTTGTACTTTGAGACGACACACTGGCTTTTAGCTCGACAAGAAATGGACAGAGGTTGATGCTGTGCTGTTTTTTAGAGTTGTTCTGTGTAGAAGGTTTTGAGGTTTGAGGGGCTTGTCAGCTTGTCATAAAAGAGAGTTAGTTCCTTACAGCTTTGCGTCTGTGTCTCCTTTGAAGATCTCATGGAGATGGGCTTTTTTGTCTCTCTTTTTCTCTCTGTCTCTCTCTTTTTCCCTCTTTCTTGCAGTTGTTTAATTTTCTGGCCTCAACCCTCGTGTCAAAGAGGCAGACCAGTAATTCATTAAATTAATTTATTAAATAATGACCCCTGAATCTACCATTGGACAGCAGAGATGCTGCACTGTATGAGCGAAATCAACATAACTGTAAAGGTTTGCAAATGCCAAATTCAATCTTTTTTATCTGAAATGTTTCCATTCCAATTTGCCCTTATCTGGCCAATGCTCGAGTGAAGTGACTCACAATATGTGTTTACAAGTTGGTTTGACATAACCATTCAAGGACAGACTTCATAAGTGCAGAGTCCTGCTTCATGGCTAGATGAGCTACACTCAAGTACTTAAACAGAAATACTGTCTGTATGGCTGTAAAACTATTCAAGGACATCCAGCAACACAACATGGCTGGTCCAAGTGGTCATGATATTAAAATAAGCTGGACAGTATAGATGCCATTGTTTTTTTGTTTTTTTTTTTATGGTAAATGAGGGTGATGTTGTGTTCGTTTCAGGTAAGGCCTTTGCTCCAGAGTTCTACTACGACACATACAGCGCCCTGTGGCAGAACAAGCCAAGTGTGTATGGCTTCAAACTCCAGTGGACGCAGATGAATCCCAATGCAGTGGACCGCATCATGGCCTATCGTCTTGGTATCAAACAGGTTAGTCCATCTTCCGTTTTTCTTCTATCACTGGTGTAATTAGCTGATCACACTCTTTCTTGGGACAGTCTGGTAGCTGATCAGAGTTTTATCCTGTGGAATCTACTGTAACTCGTAATGTATTATATTTGCCCAGAATTGTACACGTACAATTACAATTATGCACTTGTAATCTTACTGGTTCTAGCATTTGAACTAGGAACTAGGAACAATGTACACATATACGCTATATTGGTATAGGTATGTTGACATCTGACCATCACACCTATATGAGCTTATTTGACATCCTATTCCAAGACCATGGCACTTAATATAAAGTTGCTAACAGCCTCCATTCTTCTGAGAAGGCTTTTCACAAAAGTTTGGAGTGTGCGTGTGGAAATTCAAGCATGCTGTTGTCTAGCATGTCTTGCCATGTTGTAGCATTAACGTTACACTTCACTGGAACTAAGGGGCCTATCCCAAACCCTGAAAACAGCCCCAGACCATCATCCCTCACCCACCACACTTTACTGTTGGCACTATGCATTCCGGTAGTTAGCATTCTCCTGGTATCCAGTCCAGTGGTGGCATGCCTTACACCGCTTCAGCCGAGGCTCGGCATTGCGCATAGTGATCTTAAACTTGCGTGCAACTGCTTGGAAACCCAATTGATGAAGTTCCCAATGCACACTTTTTGTGCTGATATTGCTTTCAGAGGCAGTTTGGAACTCTGTAGTGAGTGATGAAACAGAGGATAGGTGATTTTTACACGCCATGTGCATCAGTACTCGGTGGCCCTGCTCTGACTTTGTGTGCTTTACTGTTTGTGGTTATGTTGTTGTTCTGAGACGCTTCCATTTCACAAATAATAGAGCTTACAGTTGACCTGGGCAGATCTAGCAGGGTAGAAATTTCATGGACCTGTAGCAAAGCTGGCATCCCGTGATGGTCACTGAGCTCTTCAGTATGACCCATTCTTCCAGTGTTTGTCTGTGAAGACTGCATGGCTGTGTGCTTGATTTTATGCACCTGTTAGCAAAGAGTGTGGCTGAAACACCTGAACTCAATTTTTAGATGGGATGTCCACATAACTTCTCCCAAATTGTAAAACTGGCTGTGTCTTGTTTAAAAACAGAAATAGTGACATGCCGTTTAATGATGTCTGCTGTGATTGGCTCTTTGTTTCTAAATATATTAGTGACTGTTGTGTTTTCCCTTGTACTTTCCAGTTGGTGCAGATGTGTGCAGGTTTTAGAGAGTAATAGAGAACTAAAGTAATGAGTAGAAAAATGACTTTTTCCAGGAAGTAATAAATAAAGAAATCCTATTATTTATGCAGTGTGATAATAAAAAAACAGCTATAATCCTATATTAATCATGTTTTCGAATAGGGCTTTCACTGTGTCACGTAGTAATCTTCCAGTCATTTTATTGATATAAATAAACTGAGATTTTAAAAAAGCCAAGCTTTCAAACCGAACAATAACAAACCATGCATAGCCTTTCAATGATTCCAAAATACTTTTAAAAACTAGGAGACTTTTTAAAAGACTTAAAAATAGAAACAGTATATGACTAAAAGGTAAGACAGAAAAAAGGCTCTGTTTGTTACTCTGAGAGAGACGTGTAGCAGAATGTAAAGTATGCATTATCATCATGCATGCTGTCAACTAAACACTGCTGATCTATTGAGAAGGTGTCAAATACTGTTTCACAGAAGCATTTCAAATGCTTTTTAGGTTTTCACTGACTCAAATGCTTACATATTTTTATGATGAAACATGGTCAGTCAGTAGATAGTAGGGGTAGACACACATTTAAAAATATAGAAACTCAATCTTCATATACCTGGATTAACATTATAGAGAATGTTACATTTATTTCTACACGGTCACAAATGCAGTAAAATTGATGAGTCATAGTAGCATAGTAGCCCAGCATCCAGTATAATTTCAACATATCATTCAGTTCTTTCTTACACATAATGAATATTGTTTGCATCTTTTTCTCATTTAGGATATGTTGCTTAGTTTTTGTGGTACTGATAGACTCCTGCCAGTCAGTGTTTTGGCTTGTTTGTCTGTTTATTTTTGTTTTATGGAAGGGGCCAGGCCATGTTTTCCAAGTTATATTGTTAGATGAATAAACTTAACTAAGTCTAATGAAAGCCAAGGTCTTGCCCTGTTCTGAACCCGTTTTTTTAATAAAGAGAACATTTACTTGTCAGCCAGTCCTTACATGGTTAAACTGTAAACCTCTTGTGCACATTTCCTTTTTTTCCTGCTCTTGTCAACTGAATATATTCTCAAAGATAAACTGCTTTGGGTTCAAGCCGGCATCTCCATGCTTAAATCAGCTAATCTTGTGTGTTAATACCTTTAAACTTTTGATTTGCATTTAGACTATGCATACATCAGATTAGAGTGAATTAGATTAAATTAGGTTTTATGTATCATTAAATGTTTATAATGTTTTTGCAGTCATTATCTGTCTTGATTTGTACCATGATATAAAAGGTCCCTGCTCTTCAGAAACCTTCAGATGTCATTTCAGTTAATAATATGATTATTATAGATTATATTTCTTTAAACGGAATAATTATACAAATGCTGTCTCTAATTTAAATGAATGAACTGATTTTGTGCTTGAAGTTGCGCAATTATTTCATTTTCTGAGACTGATTAGTTGAGACTGATTTCAAGATTAGCATGTATAATGTCTATATGCCAGCACTTTTACTTTCACACCTTTTAAGAGAACAAAGGTGAGAAATACTACTCCCAAAACATTATTATGACTTTTGTGAGGCGTCCGAGTCAGAAACTGTTGACTTTGTTCCCGTCTGTAGAGCAGAGGTTGTGTTTGTTTGGCGGAGCTAATATTTGCTGAAGGGCTTTAGTGTTCTACTGCTTGCTGTAGCGTTCTGCTTCTGCGTGCCTTCCCTCACCGAGCAGTGCGGCTGTCGCTTAGCAGTTACTGCGCGGCCCTCTGTCACCCTCCTTCGTCACCATCTCCTTCACACTTTCACGGCTCAGCTGGAGCAGCGGAGCGTGCGGCCGTTTATAATGACATCATGCAGGGTGATTTATTCCTTGTCAGGTTCTCCTCATTGCTAGTGGGCCGCCGCCCACCGGCGCTCAAAGTCAACACAAAGTACAAAGGTACATTGAGAAATTATTCACAATGTCCTAGACACACACAATCTCTCTCTTTCTCTTCCCCGCTCTCTCTCTGTCTGCAGTATTTTATAAAGATTTCTGCCTTGCATTTATCCTTTGTGATAGTATGATAAGTGATGTTTAGAAGGCAATGGGCCAAATCATTGCACTTAAATCTAGTGACTTAGGGGACCTTTAGGCATTTCTGTGGTATTGTATGGAAGCTGTAAAAGGAAAGACGTGATAACGAGTTGATTTTGTTTTCGTGACATCTTGAGTTATTAATGTCATGTCATTATGTCATGACATAGCAAATGTTGCTTTCCTGAAATATCGACATAATGCAAGATTAGTTGTACTTGAAGCTAGCAGTTTTTTGAAATTGAATATTGATGTAAAGTATCAAACAATAATCTCAATAATGATCTTAATTGATCAGGAATCTGTAATTATTTCGGAGTTATTTCTGTGTGGTGTGGTTTCAGCTTTTGAGCATTTTATCATACACCCCTCATCTTCACAGCATGTCTACACATTTTACACACTGCACATTGTCCCTGTAGTTTTTATTCTGTGAAATCAAACTACATAAAGGCCCAATTCGGTAGAAAATGTATGCCTCTGTGGGCTGTTTTTCTGGTCAGACTGTTTGTATGTCAAGTGTATATTAGGGCTTACATGGACTAGTTGACTAATAAATTGAATAATAAATTCCTATCGGACTGATAAAACCAGTGCACAGAAGCACAGATCAAAGCCACAGCCAGTTTAAATTCTCTGTTAGATATGAGATTCAGAGAGCTGTGGTGATTTTAGCCTGCAGTTTACATCAGACAATTTACATTAGACAGTCTGTGTACATCTGTGGGCAGAGTGCCTGAGGCTGAAACCTACTGAAATACAACACAAAAAATCAGTGTAGATTTTACACCTCAAACTGCAGCATCTGCCACTAGACCCTATTTACAAGCTACTAACAAAATACTTTTCATAGACGTCCTCCCCCAACTAGTTGTTATGACTGCTTATTTTTTTGAATGACTAGTCAACTAGTAAAAAATGACTAGTCTTGCAACCCCCAGTTTATATTAGGGGGTGTATTGGTAAGTAGCACAGCATGCCAGCTATCTCTGAAACAGACTTTGTGTTTGTGTTTTTTTTTTTTCAGAGTTTACTTTCACAGCTTCTGCCCACAGTAAAAAGAAACAACGTCTCACATTAGTAAACCATGGTGAGGGCATCCATATGATGCCTCAGCAAACGGCTTTGTTTTTGCAAGATCTCAAATATATGAAAGATCTCAAGGATATTTTTCTGTTATCTTGGGATAATAACATTTGTTTTCTTGTGATATTGATGTAAAGAACTGGAGATTTCAAGAAAACAATAATGACAAATTAAGTTGTCATCACAGAAAATGGAGTAAATGTGTAAAAGTAAATATGTGAACCCAGTGCCGTTTAGGACTTACATTATATTGTGCGCTTCCAGATTAGCAGCGTGTGTTCATATCTCTGCTGGAATGAAACGTGCCATTGAATGGATTTCAGGTTCAGTACAACTTAAATGAAATGGTATGCGATGATGCACAAGTCACTGAATGTCAGCGCTCTAAAGAAAGAAGCCCACTGACTGAACTTCCCTATTGAATTATGACAGTGCTTACTTGGAAATTTGAATAAAACATTTTGTGTGATGCAGTTCTTAAATACTTAATTGGAAGTGTGCGTTGGGGTACTTGGTGGTGGGAAAAACAGAGCAGACTAACCCATAATAAAATCCAGGACAACAGCAGTTATCACTAAATGGTCTCATGCGTTTTTGAGACCCCTTATGATGGCTTTAAAAGCATTATGACCA